CTGGGCTGTGTTCTTCATGTGACATCCTTTCACCCATTATCTTTTCTGTATTTCAGTTTCATGCTCAATCAGGGATGCACTTCTGTGCTAACATATTTTATGTGGTGTTTGAAACCACTGCTTATTGTGTACTCAAATGTTGGATATTTATGATCACTAATTCATAATAAAACATTTTTTTAGATCACGTTTTGCCCTACTTGTAAAGAAGAAAGGAGGAGAGGAACCAAAAGAACAAATGAGAGGAGATGCCAATTTCATAGAGATTTTTGGGTTGGGATTGCCAATAGGCTGGTCTTGTGGCTCACGATTCTTCATGAAAACCATCAAATAGGCCTTTGCACACTAACAGCAATTGGGAGGGATCTGCGTAGGGTGGAGGTGCACCTTGGCGGGGAATGCTCTTGAAGCTGCCTAGAAGTCTTGGAGTCTCTTCTCCAGGTCAATTGGTGTTTTCCTAAAATTTGCTGTTTGACTGTCATCTGTGCTCCAGTTAATACGGTCACCAAAGTCTTGCTTCTTCTTCAAATGTCTCCTCGCCCTACACTACCATGTGTACCAGCAACTGCCTAGACAACATCTACACAGTGGTATGCTAGTAAATGTTTACAAACCGGCTGGGATCCAGGGAAGCCCCAATTTATAACATTTGCCAATTACCATGGTTTAAATTCTTCTACCATAGCTAATTTCAAGCTATCACCATGAAGTCACCAATAAGTGTGGAGTTGGAAGATGAGCTGTAACACAGCATTGTATAGCATATTCACCTTACAGATCTGATAAATGCAAATAACCGCAGAAGTGCAGAAAGTAAGAAGAGTGGTGAAGCCCAAATAGAATGGCTTATACCTGTAATCCCAGCTACCGGGTAGGCATAGGTAGGAGTATCTCAGTCTGAGACACTCTCTGAAACAAAACTAAAGCATAAAAGGCTGGGGAAGTGGCTTAAGTGGTAGAGCGCTGCCTAGCAACTGCAATGACCTGAGTTCAAACCTCAGTACTATTAAATTTTTTTAAAGTGTCGAAACAATTAGGAAGTGATGAATTTTGAGTATTTCTTATCTTTGCATTAATGTAATTTGTTTAATTGTAAATTTATATAATTTAATAGTTAATAATGACTGCACTTAATAATCAACTTGCAAAATTCCTAAAAATTTAAGAACCAGAATACAAGCCAGCTGTAGTATACCACTGGGTCTTGGCCTAGAAAAAAAAAATATAGACAGAGGAGAAATAAAAGGGAACATTTAGTAAATATTAAAAGGCTTCTGTGCCAATCAAAAATATTTTTTCTGCTACTGGGGTTTGAACTCAGGATTTTGTGCTTGTTAGGCAGGTGCTCTACCACTTGAGCCACATCTCCAGCCTGCCATTCAGATTTTATGACTGGGTCCTTCTTAGCCTCTGGTTCCTGAGTTCATAGAAAGGACATAGTTGATATTTGCAGAAGCCTGGACTGTGGAGCCAGCTACTATTTGCTATCTGGGTAATTTTAACAAAGTCACCTAACCTCTCTTAGCTTGTTTCCCACCAGTAACATGGATATAATAATTATTATTACCTTCCTAAGATTGTCATGGGGAGTCTGTGAAATGCTGTAGTCAAAGTACTTAACCACTGGCTCATATAATAAACCCTCAGTCATTTATAGCCATGAGTTTCATTGTGATTACTCTCAGCATCCATTTCTTTTTTTTAGTTGAACTGGGATTTGAACTCAGGGCCTCATGCTTGCTAGGCAGGTGCTCACTACTTGAGCCACTCTACCAGCCTCATTTTTAATGTCCTCAGTAGCTGCAGGTAATGATGGAATCTATCCCAGGTACAGATTCATGTGGACACTGGTTGTTAAAGGCAATCTTTATTGTGTGGCCTGACCTCCATTCATCAACCATTCACAAAGGATCAGCCTAAAGAAGAGGCCTGCTCTTCCCTGCACACCTCCTGAGAAAGCTGTGCTCACAGATACCGAGTCAAATGTGGGTACCTTACTGTTGAGTACTGCTGTTTCTCTAGGCCTTTTTTGACCAACACAATGGTTAATTTAGGCTCTCTTTTTAAATGTGAATGTGAATACCCTTTAGAGGGTGTCATTAAGTCTAGCACCTTGGTATAAATGAGACCATCAGATCTCAGGGCTCTGTGCTTGGGAATCTAACAATGAGAAGACTGGCAGTGTCTTCTCATTTTTAGGGAGACAGAATGGGCATAGGGCCACTGAGGCCTCTACATGCTTCTCCCCTACCACTTCCCCAGGGCTGCCTGCCTCCAGATTGACCAGATGCCTCTAAAAGCAAATCCATTCCAGTGTCTCTTCTTGTTTTCCCACCTATTCCAGGACAAAGACCCAGTTGATTCTGAGGCACACAGTCCACTGCTAAGATGGGACCACTCCTGAATATTTGAGGTCAGTCTCCCTAATTTGAGAACAGCAAGTTTGCAGTTGGTTTAGCTGGGTTTTACTTATGGTCCAATCACTTAATGTGTGACCTTGAGAAGTTCACATCATGTCTGTGAACCTTTCTTTCTTCTTTCCTAGTACATTGAGGATTCTGATAAGAATTAACTTGAGACTCAGTTGAGAGCCTTTTGGGAACTATAAAACTCAAACACACATTTCTTGTTACCATTTTCTGTTCCTGCTTCATTGTTGTTAGTTTATACCCTTTTCTTTAATTCTTCAGATGGAGATATGGAGAGAAAGGCCTTCTTGGGAGCACCATAGATAGAAGAAAATAACCCATTTCCTACCCTTTATTCTAAAGGTTTCTAGGAACCTACCGCAAGTTCTGTCTGGTATCACTTATTCATAATATAGTCTGTGTGTAGCAACAATAGCTGAAGGAGTTCCCAGTTTGGCTCAGGTAACTTGGCACAACAAGAAGGCAAAGGTGACATGTGCAGGAGTCTTTATGCCCTGTGAGTGTTAAGTGTATTCTTCTTGAAGTTTTGTGTGTTTGTTTATCTGGGGCACCTGGAATGCTACACAAATGTTTTTCAAAATGGCTGAGTATCAAAAGCCAGGGGAGGAACTGGGCTTCTAGAGTTATCTATCACACTAATAGGCAGGACAGTCTGAAGCCATGCAAGTGGGTCTTTTCTAGCACTAATCAACCAGCACTTCAGGTGGTTCCTGGCTAGCCTTGTTGTTGGAGGTAGGTGACCAGTGCACTGGGGCTCATGTCTGAGAACCATGAGAACAAAGTTACCAACTCCTTCCTTGGGATCACAGAGCCTGAGTTTTACCTCAATCTATACAAGCAAAGTTGTTGTTTCCCTCAGGGCTCTGAAAGAATGAAGTCCCAGCAATTACTGGGCAACTCAAGGGGACTGTGTTGTCAAATCTATTGACCAGCACCTCCCTTCTGGTGCTTGGGGTACAGGCCGGCAGCAAAAGTGGCTGGAGAATTACCCAGTTATTGGGGAAAGGGTGTTGTGTTTCAGGATGATTTATTTTTGGTGGAGAAAAGATGGCTGATGGCCAGTCAGGGCAATCTACCTGAAGCTAAGTACTCACTTGAAGGCCTGCCAGGATCCAGCCAGGGTGGCTGAGGTGAGAGAACGGGTTGGCTGAAGGCCTGCATGGCCCTCGAGAGTGCTGCATGCATGGGGTTTGGATGTAATGCTTCCCCAGCATCTTGAGAGCAGCTGAGAGGGATGGACAGACGCACCGAAGGAGGAAGAAAGGTCCAGCTGTGAAGGCTTAAAGGTGCCCAACTTGGAGCAAAAAGACGAAGCTGAATATATGCTTACTTTCTTCAAACTCATGAGGAACTTTCATAAGAAGAGGCGGATGCTTTGTTCTGACAACCAAATAAGAGAAAGCGGCCTAGGTAGAGGCAAGACGGATTTCTGTTGCTTTCTCCTTCATGCTGTGCTGAGCACACACCTGAGCAACGATAATATTTATGTGTTGAATGAGGCCACAGGGCATTTTTGAAAGTAAGGAAAGGAAAGAGGAGTCTCAGAGTGACCAGTTATCTGGGTTCAAGATCCTTGTTGCTTCTCTCTGGGTTCCTGGTGTTTGGTGCTGTGCTGCGGTTGTCCTTAGAAAGTGTCGAGAACAAAGTGGGTTCTTTGCCTGATACAGAAAGGGCTTTACTCTAATGCGAGGATTGATGGATTTTCTAATTTGATAATAAAACTCTCTGAAAAGGGAGTAAACTGGGAGATTAAATTTATGCTTTCTTTTTTTCTACTGCTTCTCTTCTCCTGCATCTTGCCCATCTTACTTGTTCAAAAAAAGAGGGCAAAAGTGTTTTCAAAAAAGCATCGAGAACTTCAGAACTTTCATTCCAGAGCAAAATGGAATGGCCTGAAAACAAGGTCATGGGAGCCTGACAAGAGAGCCCAGCATCAGACCAGTGTCACCAGCCCTGATCAACCCAGGGAACTCATCATCGCATGAGGCCGCCTCCAGCCCCCTAAGAAGACTATGGAGAGACACTGCCCCCTCATGTCTGTGTAGCTGAACTTTGACCCTAAAGCTCAGGAATGTCAATCCCATCTGGCTGGCCTGAAACAGAGATCTTTTGCTAGGTCCCCTCCCCGCCCTGCTGCCTTTACACCTGGCAGTCTGAGCTCTCTGAAACAGACTGCAAACAGAAGGAAGAAACTATTTGGGCACTAAGCCTCCTTTCTATGCCAACAGGCTACTTCATGGTCCTGGCACTTTTGTTCCTTTTGGAAGCTGTGGAGAAAGGAATTGGGGGTAGCAGGAAAGAAGTATTCTGATAGAATATACAAAGGTTCTATAAAACTATACCAACAAAACGGGACAGATGTCACAGAGATCTGGAATCACAGGATGTTTACATAATAGAATACCCACTGCAGACAAATTCTAAATACCACAAAGTACCTGAGACAAAAAAGAAAAGAAAGAAGAAAGGAAGGAAGGAAGGAGAAGAATAAAAAGGAGTCTGGTGTCCTGACATCTGGAGGTCCACGGCACACAGGCAGAATTTCCCTGTGGCTGTGTGTGAGCGTCCAGTGGTTCCTGGCCTCACATCTCGGCTTCTGTGGAGGGGATCTCTGTTGCAGTGATGGCAATTCCGATGGCCAGGCTACCGTTGTCAGAGAAGAGCTGGGCCAGTGAAGTGTTGAGGACGAGGCAGTCCCCATCAGTGATGACTGAGTCCACGCACTCCAGGACAGACCGAGGGGTGGCCTCCCATTTGAGACGCCGGTGGTTTCTGTTGAGCTCCAGGCGATAGGTGAAGCAGTCAGCCTGGGTGGGGGTCCCGATCAGCATCATGGTGGCAAAGAACTGGGGGTGCCCTTCGTGCCTCTCTTGTTTCCTGAGCACCAGCAGGAAGTGGTGGCCAAGGCAGGAGTGCATGATGATCCAGTCAGCCGGTGCGGGGAGATGCATGTCTGTGGCCAGGAAGACAATCTCTGCTCCCTGCAGGATGTCAACCCTGTGGGTCTGCCGCAGGTGGGGCACCACCACCTCCAGGTGGCCTTCCCACTGGCAGGAGAACAGGGGGCAAATGCAGGGTGTCACCTGGGTGGTGTGCAGCTCTGCCTCCTGGTGGTGGAGGTGGTGGAGGCGGGCGTGGGGGTGCAGGTGGCAGTGGTGGCGGTGGTGGCAGTGGTTATGGGGGAGGTGGTGCTGGTGGAAGCTGCCTTGCTCTGTGGTGCCCTGAGTGATGGCACGTCTACTGGACACATACTGGAAGGAAAGAGAAGAGTGTTAGTGAGGTGTGAGGCTTATCTGTCTCTCTGTTTGTGTTCCCCAGTGAGTCAAGTGTTAAAAACAGACTGTCCAATGCAAGCAGAAGAAGTTTCAGTTCTTAGAAGAATGAGGAGCCAAAAAAAAAAAAGTTTTGTAAGATCCCTCCTCCCTCATCTCAATGGAAAAACACTAGGTGTGATGGTGCATGCCTGTCATCTCAGCTATGGCAGGAAGTGTAAAATAAGAAGATTGTGGTCCAAGTCGGCCTGGGCAACAAGTAACACCTTATTTCTAAAATAACGAGAGCAAAAAGGGCTGGAGTCATGGCTCAAGTGGTAGAGCACCTGATTACCAAGCATGAAGCCCTGAGTTCAAACCCTAGTACCCCACCAAAAAGAAAAAAAAGGGACATTGTGGGCACCTGGAGAAGGACAGGGGTAAGATTCCCCCCCAAAACTCAAGAAAATGCAAATGTCTTTCTGATTCTTTAATAAGATACCCACACAAGGCAATTTCCCCTCAATAACATGTAGCCTGATGGCATCAATTATAAGGAACAACAAAAAATCCTCTGCTTTTCCTTGATCCTGTTGATATTCTTGTGCAGACAATGGCTGTTAGTGGATTTTTTTCCCCCTATTTTATCACTGTGATTATTTTTAGAACAAAATTTGAGTGGTCCTTCCAGTGCTACCAGGAGTCATGCTGTTTTGGTCACCCTTCTCCCAGGTCCTGAGGCAACACATAGACATAGAGGTGACTGTGTACAGCTGGCCCACAATTCCCAGGGAAGGAGGCCCCTGTGACTCCAGAGACTGACCCAGCACTCACATTTCTACCCTCTTCCTGGCTCTCTGCGCTGGAGAAACTTCCCAGAGGTTTGCCTCCAGGCAGCCCTCACTGTGACAATTCCTGACCTTTTGTCCTCTGCAGTGTGCCCACAAGTGCCCTCAACAATGCCAGGATCTGTGATAGTACCTTCTGATCAAGTACCTGTAAACATTTATTGAGAGCTTGCTAAGACCAGGCCCTGCAGGCATTAGGAATAGAGCCAGGAGCAAAAGAGACACTGTGTCACTTAATGTGGGTGGTACAGACATCAATCCTCTTATAATTAATTAGAGTTTTGACAAGGGTCCTGCTCATGACACGAGGACTATGATTCATGTTTTTCAATTGGAAAAGTGGTTTCGGGAGTAATGTGCCTGTGGATATAAAACTAGCAAGTGAAAGACTGGGATTCATTTACACATCTCCAGACTCTGATCTCAAGCACTGCTAACTCTCCCCACAGTCCCCTAGTTGTGTTGTCCTCAGTTCTCTTCCTCCTCCATCCCCAAGTCCTTATCTATAATTAGCCTGAAGGATCTGGTCACACAGAAAGGGGCGGTGCTCTGTAGTGCACTGTAGGTGCCAGGTCCTCACCTGGCAGTGGTTTCCTAGGCTACCCTCAGGTAGAGAATGTCCCTCCTACCCTACCTCTCCAAACGCTTCCTGGACTTAAAGTGCATTTGGCCACCTGCCCCCCTGACCTTGCTCAGTCCATTCCCAAAGCACAGAGCAAGGTGTGAAAGTTTCTTTTCCACACTTCACATTGTGGATGTCAGAGCTTCTCTGTCCCAGCTCACTGTGGCTAATGGCAAAGGCCTGGCTAGCTTCCCTTTCTTTAGGGCAGGCAGGCAGTCACACACACAGGCACACTTGTGCACACACACACCTGCACCTGTCTATTCAGGCACACGTACATGATGCACATACGCAGTACATACTCATGACACCATGCACATATATATCCACACACATACACACAATGCACTGAGATGGTCACCTGGTGGTGGAAGTGACATGGAAGCAGATGGGCCCCAGATGAGTGCTGCTCTTAGGTTCTCAGCTCTGGCTGCCGGTGTCTGTGTTCTCTAGCTGGCAGCCTGAGCTAAAGGCGGCCCGTCCAGTAGCTCCTGCCTTGTCCTTGGGTGAGAGCTACTGATAGCCTACTGTCACCTATAAAACTCTCTTGCTCCAAGGCAGACAGTGTGTCTTCAGAAACAGTAGTATAGGCTCCAGATTTGTGCTAGTGACGAGTCTGACTTACCCTTTAGTGTTAGATCTAGGGAAGGAAATAAACTAACACGCAGCATCAACTAATTGTTAGGCACTTTGGAAAGAAGGTATTTTTAAATAATGATTTCACTAATTTTTTCGTAGTAGAGAACCATTTCCTTATTTTTTCAAATAAAATTAAATCTTGCTTAGCTCCCACCTGCTTGCAGATGGTGTATGTGATTTAGACAGTGAGAGAGAGAGAGAGAGAGAGAGAGAGAGAGAGAGAGGGAGAGTGTATGTGTGTGTGTGTGTGTGTGTGTGTGTGGCAGGGTCCTTCAGTCTCCTGGGATCATTAAGGTCAGGTCTCATACCCTGCATCAGCCAGATCAAGAGCCCCTTCCAGCAGTCTGCAGACCTGGCAGGAGGTCCACCTCTTCTGCTGTGTTTAGGAAGATCTAGTCTTGGGCTCTCATGGAAAATCTCAAACACTGTCCCTTTCAGTCTCTGGGAAGTCCCCTTTCACATGTGATCTTTTCAACAACAATGAAAGGAGCATACTATGTATTACAGAAGAAGAAATTGGATCATGAAGAGATCAAGACACTTGTCCAAGGTCTAGATCATTTAAAGGTCATAGATTGGGAAGATCACAGGCTGGATTTTCAATCAAATTAGTTTTCTTACTGGCAAAATAGTTACCTCAAGGCATTGTTAAGGGATTACATGAAGTAATACCTGTAAAATGGCATTAAAAATTATGTCTAGTGTTATACAAGATAGCCTTTCTATTGCGATGAGGATTGGGGTGGACACTTTGGTGATCTTTCACCTTTGTCTGTACTCTCTCTCTCTTTCTCTCTGTTGATCAACTGACTTTCAGACTTTCACACACTGGCAGCAATGTGGCTGAATATAGGCCACATAAAAGTCTGGAGAATCCCATCTTGCCCTTCCCCTGGGTCTCCTGTCCCAATGCTGACCCATGACAAAGAAGGTGCTGAAATTCTCATCTCAGAAGCCTCTGGGTTAGTTATGCTCCACGTGCTCTTCCCTGGTGTATTTCCATCTTCTCCATTCTGATCTGTGCTGTTAATGTCAAGATGTGAAGTTGCAGTAACGAAGGATCCGGGAAGAAACACCTTGACCTCCCTTCTTCCTCCCTCCCGTCTCTTACCAGTGTCTTCCATTGGATAGTCCAACAAAAACCTAACAGCAAAGGGAGCCAGGACAGGTACTCGACAAAGGTCTGCTCAGCTTCTTTGAAAATAGTACTGGGCAAGGAAAACAGGTGAAGAGGGGATGTCCACCTGTGTGCCTGTCTCAGTTCCCTTTTATGTGATGTCGCTGGCCTGAACAGGCTGCACCTGGTAGACTGAGCCTTGATGGGGCTTAAGGTGGGGAAAGAGAGAGAGATATATGTCTACAACTCAAGTCCTTCACCTAACATAGCAAGGAGCTAAGAATCCAGAATAGGATCCTTGGTCCTTTCTTATTACTCCCAGGATTATGAGTATTACAAAACAATGCAAAGAACACAGCACAGTAGCCACTTAGTATCTGTGGGTTCTGCATCCATAATTTCAACCAACCATGAATAAAAAATTTCAAAAAGATTGTATCTGTACTGAACATGTACAGATTTTTTGTTGTTATTATACCCTAAACAATACAGTCTAACAACTAATTATATAGTATTTACATTGTATTAGCTATTATAAACAATGTACAGAGTATTTGAAGTATTCAGGAGTATATTCATGGTTTATATCCAAATGCTAGGCTTTCTGTATAAGTGACTTGAGCATTCAAGAATTTTAGCATCCACAGGGGTCCATGGATATTAAGAGGAGGCTATATGCCTAGGAGCATGGATAGCACAAATTGGGAGAAGCTGTTCACATTTACAATGAGTGAGGTGTGAGGGGTGAATTCTCTAACAAAAGTGGTTTCAATGGGGGAGAACAGCAGGTTCAAAGGAGCCAGGTACAAAAGAACATAGGATGCGTAAGAAGTGGCAAGAAGTTACCAAGAGGCTGGTAGATAAGAATCTGGTGGAGATGGAGAGCAGTGGGGCAATACCACAAGGCCTTGTAAGCCACACTGAGACTGAGATGGCCCCAGTGCACTGTGGGAAACCGCAGCAAAGCCCAGGAGACTCAGCTGCATATTTTATGGCACCCCAGTGGGCGGTACATGCTCCCAAGCCCTCCTGCCGAGCCTGCTCCAAGTTAGCACTCAGAACATGGAAAGAAACTGGTCCCCACCCTATCCAACCACTGGACTCGAGCAGTGTTTTTTCCACCTAGACTCTACTATTGCTTCCTTTTGGCTTCATCTTACACTAGTCTTTTTTTGGCTGTTTTTTAATTGCTGCAGTCAAAGCAGTCAGGAGGATAATCCAAAGAGACTAAAGTGAATGACTATGCAATCGAGTGGGGCATTATGAACTCATGGAGACCTGTGCACTTGCTGTGCTCTGAGAAGTAAAAAGAATTAATTCTTCATTTCTTGCTGCTCCATCTTCAGATGCAAAATATGTTTCATTTAAATGATCCTTGGATGAGGGAGGTCACAGAGCTGCTGACAGAGAGAAGGGATCCTTTTAATTGGTAAAATGCTAATCGTTTCTGGAAAATGAATTCTAATCTTCCCATCTAATACAGTGGATGTGTGAGTAATTACTTTCCTTCACTAAACTGTGAATGCAACATTAGTGATTACACTAATTAAAACTAATGAACTCTTACAGACTGATAAACCTCTCAGTCAGCCAGCGGATTCCTTCCTTCCATTGGCTGTATTTAACTTCCCATTTGGAAGAGAGACTTTGAATTAACCTTTAGAATAATGCACAAAATTGGGTTTAGAAATGTTAGGCTTTATAGACTTGGTATAATTCTTTCCCAGGCATTAGTGAGGCCATTTCCACTGAGGGTGTAATTGAATTTAAAAAC